ATAGCCATAGGATTTTGGCTTAAAATGTGAACCTTGACCCCCACCTCATTGCCAGCTCATCTGTGATTCTAGTTTGCACATTACTTAGGAATTAAAAATCCAAAGCCCAAATCAAAAGAGCCATAGTGGTTTAGTTTTACTTTTCATCACGATGGTTGAGTCAGAAAGGGAACACCAAAATATCACCTCCCACAATCCAGTCTATTACTGAGTTGAGAATCAGGGGGGATAATCAGCCAAATTATGCGGTTGGTTTTCAGTCTCTTTCCCCTCTCCTTCTCTACCTCTTTTCTCTCACACATCTTTTCTCTCACACGCCTATCCAGGACCTTTATCCCTCAGATTTTCCCTGGCTCTCCTCGGTGGTACTTCTGCTTTCCTCTCTAAAAGTGCCTTATGGCCCACATTTGTCCTTCATTCCCCATACTCCCCAACCAAACAGTCCTGTCCCATAGCTGCATGATATGCTATAGTATTGCATACTGTGTTGGTAGCTGATCATTGTTAAATTTTTTCATCTTTCTTCTTTAAAGATTTATTTATTTATTTGAAAGGCAGAGTTGCACAGAGAAGGGAAAGGCAGAGAGAGAGAGAGAGAGAGAGAGAGAGATCTTCCATCCACTGGCTCACTCTCTGTATGGCCACAATGGCTGTAGCTGTACCAATCCAAAGCCAGGAGCAAGCAGCTTCCTCTGGGTCTTCCACGTGGGTGCAGGAGCCCAAGCGCTTGGGCCATCTTCTACTGCTTTCCCAGGCCATAGCATAGAGCTGGATAGGAAGGGGAGCAGCCAGGACTTGAACTGGTGCCCATTTGGGATGCTAGCACTGCAGATGGCGGCTTTACCCACTATGTTACAGTGCCGGCCCCCCTGATTGAGTTTTCTTTCCATTTGGATGTGATCCTTCTTCACTAAAGTCATGATATATCAGTTAAGGGCAATTCAGGAGGTAGCTGTTTGATTGTAGACATGTGTCTCTATATGTCATAAATTTCACTACCAGGATCCTATCCTCACCTTTTTAAAACCACTATTATTGGAGGAGGTAATATACCAAGTGGATTAGTCAGTTTCTTGTTACTTTAACTAAAATACACACGAAGTGCTTCTTGGGAAGTAAACAGTTTATTTTTAGCTTGAAATCTGCAGGTTCACAGTTCAAAATCTGGTTGCCCCATGAGCCTGGCATCTGATAGAGGCTGGCAATGGCAGAGTGGGTGTGGAGGAATGACCACGGGGTGACCCAGGAAGCAGAGAAGCTAGGCTGAACTTGACTTAAATAACCAATCCTCTCATGAGAACTAGCTTCTGAAGACAAGCACCCAATCAAGAAAAGACCTCCGGCTAGGCCCATCTCTCAGATGCCACGGTTACATCAAGTCCCCACCCTCAATCCCACTGACCATTAACAAAAGACTTCAGCGTTTAAACATCTGCTTGAGTTAGGGGAGCCAAGTCCTATTCGATCTATAACTTCAAGTCTCCTAATTCAAATCATAAAGGCTTTTAAATCAAGTGCCTATCCTGTGAACTACGTGACAGCTTCTGAATCACTAAAATGCTTTCCAAGTATTCCTCAGCCAGAGCAGGTGGCCTTTGAGTTGCCACCTAAATCCGATGTGAGAACACTCAATATCAATACTATAGCTTTTGGCTTCATGGCTGAATAACACGTCAATATTGGTAATTGAATGATTTACTGTTCTTTAGGGTGGTTACATTTCATGGATGCAGGCTAAATGGAATTAATTGTGGGCTAATTAAAGTGCTCCCTGCTTCTCTCTCAAGTTCTCCCTTGAGTATTAGCTGCAGTGAGTTGTGCAAGTCACAGAGAACTGTAAATTATGACTCGGCTAAAAGAAAAATGGATTGCTTTTCTAATACTTATTGAACAGTTAAAAGAGATGTTTAAATCTCTACAAGTTTTAGATAATTAAAATTATAAATCTGTGCTCTTTGAACAGGAACATGAGTAGGGATCAGAGATATACATAGTACCACACTGAAGTGATTCATCTGTGGCTTCAGGTTTATAACTGTAACAAAGGCTTTCCCCAGGCAAAACAGCAAAGCAGAAGTTTGTCTTTGTTGTCTCTTTACCTCCTAGTATTCCAGACACACCGAGCTGCCCTATGGATGTCCAGAACCTCTTACTATAGGATCCATCCAATGCTAGTTCTGCCCTCTGACATCAAAGGATTATCTGTGCTGCATTCCATTCCCTAAAGGCTGTACTGGATGTTAGAGTAATGGAGCTACAGTAATAATAAAACCCCCAAATCTCAGTGGTTTGGCAGAATAGTTGATCTTTCATGTGCCTTAAGTCCATACTGGGTGCTCTTCATTGACTGAAGGCTCCCGGTGTAGGGACTCATCTTGTGGTTCTATCATCTTCAATATGTCTTTTCCAAGGTTGTCATGATCTTCTGTATTGAGCTAGCAGAAGAATAAAAGGTGGGGATAAGCAGGCATGTGCAGATTTTTATGAGCTAGGACTGGCAGTGCAGCTTGTATTAATAGTCCATGGCCGCATCTGATGGCAAAGGAAACCTGGGAGATACACTGAAGCTGCACATCCAGGTTGGAGATGATATGGGTTTGATGGACAGCTAGTCAGTTTCTGCCACTCTTGGTGACTAAAGCAAATCTGATCAGCAAGTTTGCAGTAAGGGGTTAGCAACTTGTTCCTGCTTTGGTATTTTGATTTCCAAAGAAACTCTCTGGAAAAAAGATACATAGTTGGAAAACTGGCAGCTGTAGTCAACAGGTGATCATTTTTATTTCACTGCCTTTTAGTTACATGTGAAATGTCATCTGTCCAAACTTCTCCAAATCCATCATATGACAGAATTAACACACTTGTCACACAGAGAAACCTCTTTCACTGGCTTTCTTGCTATCTTGCTCTCTCTGTACCTCTAGCCTCTAGCCCTCTTTCTCTTGGTCTCTTTCTCCTTCCCCATCCCTCCCTGTCACACACACACACACGCACACACACACGCACACACACATACACACTGATGGTGATGATGATGATAATGATGATTCGACAAGTGATGAGATGCTTTTCTTGTGACATTTACCCTTGAATCCAATTGGGATTTCAGCTCAGGACTGTTCTGATCATGATTCCAGTATTCTTCACCACTGAAGCAGTTATTTAGATGTTTACCCATCAAGTTATTAAGCAATTCTAATAAGGAATTGGTGACTTGAGCTATTTTTAAAGCTAAGAGTCTTCTAGCACTTTACATTGACTTAGAAATTTGAAAATAGAGTAAGTACCTCTAGTGAAATCATATTTTTATATGATGAATTGGGATCAAGGACATTTGAGAAACATGAACGGACAATTTACCCAGAGGATTTTATAAAAGAATCTATTCCATTTTGCTTGGGCAATAATGGGATTTTAACAAATATCTGTTTCTTTTTTTAAAAATTAGCTTGTTAAGAGACTGAGAATCTTAATAAAAATGAAATGCATCCATGAGCTTTCTTAAGGTCTTTATTTTTAACCAGTCAGTTGATTTCATTTAACTGGCATTTTATTTCACTACCTAGAAACTAACTCTGACCTTTAATCTATCCTTGCTGTGGGCTAAGAACATTTCTGGTCCTGCACCACTGTCATAATACACAGATGCAGTGAGGACTATTACCAAGTTGCTTAAAGATTCAAAGACATTCTTAAAGCAATTGTAGACATATTTTAGGAGCAAATACTGAAATACTCCTATTGTTGAGCTGGTGAAATTTTAAGAGGTTGACTCATTGGGGTTGTTAAGAATGATTTTGAAGCTGTTGCTCCATCTTTGATAGCACAGGTTTTATATATTCCCAATTAAGAACCTTCATGGTATGTCAGTTCTATTCTCTTATCTGACTTTCCCCCTCTTGCCGCTTATTAAAAGTCTAAGCTATGACAAATTTTATCCTCTTTTGCTATATCTGGTTTCACTACACCAGGAGATCTATATTCTGTGAATCTCCATGTTTTTAAGCTTATTCTAGATAAAGTACCAAAGTCTTTCTCATTTCACCTCGCCCCTCCACAAAAATTCAATCTGTTTTAGGATCTGAAATTTCAAATTTTTTGGCCCTACCATCTTTTCCAATGCCATTCTCCAGTGGGAACTATATAATAATTCCCTAATTCTCTAGTGGGAACTATGTAAGAATTCCCTAATTCTTATGAACAGATTTCATGGGGGCCTTCGCTTGCAGGAAGCTTTTTGAAGGAAAAATACTCCTTGAGTTCATGAATCATGGTGCAAAGTAGTCCTTCATTTTCCTTCTTCTTTTTACCTTTTCTGATTGTAATTGGTTGTGTTATTATTGTTGGAGAGGGGAAACAAATTCTAGTATAACTGTGAAGAAATGGCCCAGTGCTGATGCCTTCAAACTCTGCCTTTCATGATCTTCTGTGTTCTCATTATATCCCTTCTTAGACTTTTCTCTGTAAAAGAGAAAGACTCCTCCTCATTGTCTGGTGGGTTAAGCTGCCGCTGACATCCCATATGGGCCCTGGTTTGGTTCATGTCCTAGCTGCTCTGCTTCTGATGGAACTTTCTGCTAATGCACCTAGGAAAAACAGCTCCTGCTGAATGGCGTTCCATGGCTCTCATCTTTAGCCTGCCACAGCCCTAACCAAATTGGCCCTTTGTGAGGATTGAACCAGCAGATGGAAAATCTTTTTTTCTCTCTCTCTCCCTCTCTCTCTCTGTTACTTAGCCTTTCAAATAAATAAATGAATCTTCTTAAAAAGAATTCCATAACATTGTAAGCATGATATGTAAACCATGTATATCTTTAAAAAATGAAAACTCATTTTCTAGTTCATTTTATTTGACAGCTTTCCATTCCACTGATCAATCTACAAACCAATGCCCAATGCGGCATTAAACACTATGGGGGATATGATAGAAGAAAAAAAATCACCTAAGCCTGCACAAAGCCCAAGATTTTGTTGGAGATTAGAAATTTAGAGAAGCCCTCCTGCCCAGCGCCGCCAGCCCAGTGCCTGATTTCTGCTCTAGGCCTGATCCCCTTTTCGCTCGTGTCCATCACCGCGTGCAGCAATGCCGCCAGAATGTCTGACAAACTGCCCTACAAAGTCGCGGACATTGGCCTGGCTGCGTGGGGACGCAAGGCCCTGGACATCGCCGAGAACGAGATGCCTGGCCTGATGCGCATGCGGGAGATGTACACGGCCTCCAAGCCACTGAAGGGCGCCCGCATTGCCGGCTGCCTGCACATGACCGTGGAGACTGCCGTCCTCATTGAGACCCTTGTTGCCCTGGGCGCCAAGGTGCAGTGGTCCAGCTGCAACATCTTTTCCACCCAGACCACACAGCGGTTGCCATTGCCAAGGCCGGCATTCCAGTGTATGCCTGGAAGGGCGAAACAGACGAGGAGTACCTGTGGTGCATTGAGCAGACGCTCTACTTTAAGGACGGGCCCCTCAACATGATCCTGGACGATGGCGGTGACCTCACCAACCTCATACACACCAAGTACCCACAGCTCCTGTCAGGCATCAGGGGCATCTCTGAGGAGACCATGAGTGGGGTCTACAACCTCTACAAGATGATGGCCAATGGGGTCCTGAAGGTGCCTGCAATCAATGTCAGTGACTCCGTCACCAAGAGCAAATTTGACAACCTCTATGGCTGCCGGGAGTCCCTCATCGATGGCATCAAGCGGGCTACAGATGTGATGATCACAGGCAAGGTGGTGGTGGTTGCAGGCTATGGCGACGTGGGCAGGGGCTGTGCCCAGGCCCTGAGGGGTTTTGGGGCCCGTGTCATCATCACTGAGATCGACCCCATCAACGCACTGCAGGCTGCCATGGAGGGCTACGAGGTGACCTCCATGGATGAAGCCTGCAAGGAGGGCAACATCTTTGTCACTACCACAGGCTGTGTGGACATCATCCTTGGGCGGCACTTTGAGCAGATGAAGGATGATGCCATCGTGTGTAACATGGGACACTTCAACGTGGAGATTGACGTCAAGTGGCTCAATGAGAATGCAGTGGAGAAGGTGAACGTCAAGCCCCAGGTGGACCGCTATTGGCTGAAGAATGGGCGCCACATCATCCTGCTTGCCGAGGGCCGGCTGGTCAATCTGGGCTGTGCCATGGGCCACCCCAGCTTCATGATGAGCAACTCCTTCACAAACCAGGTGCTGGCGCAGATTGAGCTGTGGACCCACCCTGACAAGTATGCTGTAGGTGTTCACTTCCTGCCCAAGAAGCTGGACGAGGCAGTGGCTGAAGCCCACCTGAGCAAGCTGAAAGTGAAGCTGACCAAGCTGACTGAGAAGCAGGCCCAGTACCTGGGCATGTCCCGTGATGGCCCTTTCAAGCCTGATCACTACCGCTACTGAGAGCCAAGCCTACCTTTCACCTTCCAGTGCCCAGGCCCTACCTCTCCTCCCCAAGAGCAAGTGGCACCACCTTTGCAATTGGATTTTCAGTGACGACCCCTTCGAGTCACTGGGGCCAGTCACTCAGTCTTTGGCCTCTGCATTCCTCATATTCCAAGTGTGACACAGGGAACTAAGAGGGCCCTATTCAAGCCCTGGTCATGCTGGAGGTACACGGGTGACATCTATGGGGAACCATGAGCCCAGGGAACCCAGAAGTCTTAGAACTGCTAGGCCAGTCCTTTCTCAGGCAGGAAGTTGGTAGTGGTGTCACAAAGCCCATATACTTTACCAGATAGGCCTTCACCTGGCCTGTAGTGTTAGACCCATGTGCTTGGTTTACAGGTCCGCTGGTTCCTCAGCCCATGGTGGAAGAGGAGGAGTGTTATCCGAGGGCAAGGAGGAACTGTTGAAGCTTGAATGTTTCTGAGAGCCTGGCTTAGTGCTGGGCCTTCTCAAAACCCTCAGAACAATGAGTGAGGTTAGTCCTTATTAGTCCTTTTAGTCTTCATTTTACAGGGGTTAAAGTAACCTCTATACGAGACAGCCAGAGGTTGAGAGAGGCCAGAAAAAGCAGGCATAGATCTGCCATCACTTTGTAATATGGTGGTTTCTATCACAACCTTGAGTCAAAAAGATACTAATTTGGCTTATAATGTTTATATAATATTTAGAGTGTTAAAAGAAAGCAGGAAGGTGGGTTAATAAACATTCTGGTGCCTAAAAAAAAAAGAAAATAGAAATTTAGAGAAGCATCGTAAATCTCATATAACCAAGGGCAGAGGGTGCAAGTGTTCTAGGGTGGTGATCTCATGTATTAGAGTACTACAGAATCACCTGGGATTCCTGTGGAAAATACAAATTCTTGAACTGCAGAGACTCAGATTCTGTAGTTTGTGGATGATGCCTGGGAATATGCATTTTACCAAGTTTCTAAGTGATTCTGTTGCTAGGGGTTCCCTAAACCCACTGCTTCACTTCCGAAAATGCCTGCAACAACCAGGGGCTGGGCCAGGCTGAAGTTAGGAACCAGGAACTCAATCCACATCGCCCACAGGAGTGACAGGAACCCAATTATTTGAGTCATCAGCTGCTGCTTTCCAGGGTGCATATTAGCAGGAAGTTGGAATTGGGAGTAGACCTGGGACTTGATCCCAGCACCAAGATATGGGATGTGAGCATCCCAATCAGGGTTTTATCTGCTGAGCCAGACATCTGCCCCAGCAAATCTGGTTTCCTTTTCTCCTGGGTGCAGACTGCATTTCCTAGCTTCCACAAAGTGATGCATCACTGTTTGAGTTCTGGTCAGTGGAATGTGCATAAATGATGTGTCAGTGTTAAACCTGTCCCATAAAATCCTCTGATGTGATTCTCCACTGTTTCTCTTCTCCCATCTAGTAACTCGATGTTGATGCTGAATGTGACCTTGGGATCAACATGGGGAAGCTGACAGAGCCTCCCCCAGTATAGATAACTGAGTGACTAGGATGCTTCCTTGCCCAAAGGAGCCTGCAGAATGTTTGTGATCTGGATATACTGGCCTTCACTTGAGTGAAACTTCAATCCTGTTACACCACTGAGATTCCAAAATTTGTCTATTAGAGCTTTTAGTATAATATATATGTATGTAAGTATTTGAGAGAGAGATTAGAGCACTTCTATCCACTGATGGACCAAAGCTGGTAGCTGGGAATGCTGTCCAGTTAATCCCACAAGGGTTGCAAAAATCCAATTACTTAACCCATCACCCCTGCCTTCCAGGATCTGTATTACAGGAAGCTGGAGTCACAAAATAGAGCTGGGAATGGAACTCAGGCACTCAGATGTGGAGTGTGGGTATCTTAATAAATAGGCTAAATAACTGCTCCTCTAAGGACAGTCTTAACACTGAAGGGACAAAGATGGCCAAGGCAGATAATTTATGGGATAAGCCTCATTGTCTTTCTTTGGATTTTTTTCAAGCTCATCACTACTCAGAATTAATGCATAGACCTATACGCAGTCCTCCAGGTCTGTCGGTTCATGAATCATATGCACATTTTCAGGAAATTTTGTGCATGTTTCTATGTGACCCTTAATGATCAGGGCTCCTAGCTAGACATTCCTTTATCCCTAAATCCCTTTGCCAAGAAGTAATAGATTTGAAAGCACAAAGTTCATGGCAATAGGGGAGTTCAATTACTTCAGACTTTATTCAGTATTTTTGGATAAAGCAAAGGTAGCTGAAAGCACATTAGCATGCATTGAGAGGGACTTAATACATCTCCCACCCACATCCTGCCTTTCCCTTGCTCCACACCTGCCTAACGGCTCCTGGGAAGTAGGTTGGTTGGCTGCAATTAAACTCAAGCGCCTCCTCAAACACTTGGTAAAAATCAGCCTTGGCATAATGATTTTCCTGCTCCTACTCTGTGGAAAGGAGTAAAGAGAGCTGAAAAGGCATTAGCAATTGACTTAGAAACTTGTGGTAGTCTTACCGTTTGAATACCCATAATTATCTGGTAATGAGTATTTCTGGTAATGAGTATTTTATGTATATTTTTCAGAAAATTTTTCACTTTAATATTTAATGATCATTTTTAGTATTAGACAGTGACCTTCCTTCAGTCGGACAGGTGTTGTCTGACCTTGCACAGTTCGTAGTTCATCTTGCCTGGCAGGACCTCCTCACATTCTGCCATCTACTTCTCAAGGATGGATATAGCAGAACCCTGCCAACTGACAATCTGCACGTTTGCGACTTGGACCTATGCTGCTATTGAACGTTGTTGAAGGTGTGGTGAGGAGGCCACTGACTTATCCCAGAGTTTTCCCGTTACCAGAGGGATCCCTTCCTGGCCTCCTAAGGAGCCTAGTAGTTTCATTATTGGAGTAACTATTTGAGGACCGTGACATTATCACAGAAAATTTCCATTAAAATGCAGTAAATTACTAGGAATGAAGTAACCTATTAACCACCAACATACTTGAGCTTATAAGCTTAGTATAAAAATATCAGTAAGATGGCATCCAGGGTGTCAAGAGCTGAGCAAATGGGGAATGGTCTGTTTCAGAACAATACCCTGTTCAAGGGGAATCTCTAGGGCCAAGTGAATCTCCTAGCTGCTTAGGAAAAGTGCGCCTGGGGCCCTGCCATGAGGACCCTTACAAATAATACAGAAGTAGTGGAAAGTCATGGGAATTAAATTAAAGAATGGCATTTGGAATGACATAGAAAAGAAGGAATGCAGAAGGAATGAGAAAGTTAAAATGGAAACCAAGAGCAATGAATTGAGAATTGACATGTCAGCAGATGAAGCTACATCTCTGGAATCACTGGAGAGAATAACAGAATAATAGATCAAGCCACTTCACTGGAAGAGTAAAAGCATATTTCCTGCTCCTTTCCATCAAACCCTTACTGCCTCACTAGCTCAGCTCTTCTTTGATCCATACATTATGCAAATATTTCACAGTGCTCATTGGTTATCTTCTTGATATCTGTGTTGAGCCTATTGAAATCATCCTGCAACCAGCTCATACTATTAGTTTCACAGAGCAGCACATGGCAGTGCTTAGATAAGAAACTCAGATACATACAGGATATCCTTTCAGTGAATACCTAAAACTACAGGTACTATCACATGTGGTCAAAGATAAATCTACATTCCTTGAGTAATGCCTGTTAACCACAGTGAAATGTCTGCTGACATTTCTCTTCTCTCTAGAGTCCTTCTGTTAACTCTTGGCGACCATTATTAGGAAAGAGCAGTAACTCACATGAATATTTACTGAGCTCGGTGAATTGATTGTGTTTCATTTTCAGCTTTTAAGGCTAATTGTGAGTATTATCACTGTTGTGGAGATATATGTTTATGACTTAGTATATATGCTTTTTTATGACAGTACATCACTATTTCATCAAGGATTTTCCCTCTCATATAATGTAAAGCAATTTTATTTTTGCATTGGCTTTTTGTGCTTTTCAAACTTATTTATTTATTTAAAATTTTGATTTAACATGTAATACTTGTATATTTTTATGGAGTACAGTGCAATATTCTAACACATACACAAAGTATATGTTATTTTTATAAAAATAGAAAATTGCTACAAGAATAAGGTGCTGATATGCTGCTGCTCATTTTATGGGTAGTATCTATGATCTTTCATAAACTATCATTCTTTCTTTAAAATTTATTTATTTATTTGAAAGGAAGAGTTATAGAGAGGCAGGGGCAGAGCGAGAGAGAGAGAGAGAGAGAGAGATGTCTTCTATCTGCCGGTTCACTCCCTAAATGGCCGCAATGGCCGGAGCTGTGGCGCTAAAGCCAGGAGCCAGGAGCTTCTTCCGGGTCTCCCACATGGGTTCTGGGGCCCAAGAACCTAGGCCATCTTCTATTGCTTTCTCAGGCCATAGCAGAGAGATAGATTGGAAGTGGAGTAGCTGGGACTTGAACTGGTGCCCATATGGGATGCCAGCATGGTAGGTGGCAGCTTTACCTGCTATGCCAAAGCACCAGCTCCGTATACTATCATTCTTTTTTTAACTTTTATTTAATAAATATAAATTTCCAAAGTACAACTTTTGGATTATAGTGGCTTTTCCCCCCATAACCACTCTCCCACCCACAACCATCCCATCTCCCACTCCCTCTCCCATCCCATTCTTCATCCAGATTCATTTTCAATTATCTTTATATACAGAAGATCAATTTAGTATATACTAAGTAAAGATTTTAACAGTTTTCACCCACACAGAAACACAAAGTATAAAGTACTGTTTGAGTACTAGTTATACCATTAATTCACATACTATCATTCTTAATAGGCACAGTCTCCCTGTCCAGAGATAAGCAGAGAGGTACCCAAAAGTTTCGTCCGTTTTCTGGAAACTAAAATCAGCTTCAGTGCCAGGATCCCTAAAGACTTGTCTTTTGTCCTCACCTTAAGATCTACTTTTTTTTGTCTTTTATTATAGTCTTTGAGTACTTTATTGACTTTTTGCCTTTGGCTCCACTCAAGCAATGAAATCTTGCACCTGGATTAACACAAGAAATATACCTGCAGTTTATCC